AATACTTGAAATGTTCAACTGTATGGTCTTTCATAAAAATACTACAAACTGATCTCTGTTGTCTTAAACCATCTCTCCCATACCATACAACTAATAGTTTACACCACCCTTAAAGGCAGGCTTGACATACATATTAATAGACAGATTAAACTTTCTTTTAATTTGAATCAACTTCTTGTTGAAAATGTTTTAGAAGTGAGTATCTGTGTCTCCAAACTATAAAGAATGTGACATGTTGCAGAACTAGATTATTAAAAAAACGTTATTTTGGAAAAGTTGAAATATTTTAAGAACTTACTGAACAATTCATCATTTTACAAGCTGAAAAATAATACAACTAGTAACAGCTGCCAAATAAAGGCGACAGTAGCCTGTAAGTACCTCAAAAGTGAATGTAAGTATAGTGCTTGAATGAATCTACTTATCTACTCCGCCACTGTTTGCATAATTACTTGTATGTTGCAAGAATGCACAATAAACCTGTGATGGTAGCCCACCCACAATATCACACAACAAAATGCGGCTTTGCGCCATAACTGAGCCAAAAAGTTTACCTTGCAGCCATTCTGCAGGAGTATCTCCGTTATTGCTCTTCCTATTCCCATTGCTGCTCCAGTCACGACTGCAATTTTACCGTATAAAGCCATTTTAGCTGTTCAATAAGAGGAGAGGAGGCTGTAGGATGAGTGCAGAAAATGTGACAATGATGAAGTTAGGGAACTCTCTGTGCTTATATACTGACACCGCCCATAAGGAGAACATACCGAGCCAATCAGGGCCTGAAATTAACTTTTTTGTGTGTCTCAAAACTGTCCCAAATTCTACTTTAAACAGATATAACACCCATTGTCCCAAATTGAAGTTCTTCTTATTCTACATCATAAATATAGTTAATTAACTTTGTTTCAGTAACTTGCATTGCGTCATTGATTCACTCTGCATGTGGATAAAACATTTTAATCGCCCTAGGTGTTTGGCCACAGTTAGTTTCAATTATTCTTTTTGTCATTGGTTGAGTTACTCTTTCTTGCTTATTTATAATTGTGTGATCAATAAATGTATCACAGCAAACTACAGTTGAAATGCAAACCTGTTTCTGATTGTTATATAGGGATGGAAGATTCCATAGACACACTGTGAACATTATTATAATTTATCCATGTAATCACAAAGTCACTACAGAGACACTGTATATTTGAAATATTAAAAAGAAAGAAATCTAAAGAAGGGAGGGAGAAGAATAAATGCAAATATTTACAAGCTCAAACAAACTATTTACAAATAAACTGTAGGACCACCCTAATCCAGAGATCCGGGAAGAGAAAGAGCGAGAGAGAAGGTCAAACGGATTATTTAAATATTTACAAGCTCAAACTAACTATTTACACGAAAGCTAAGGCACACCCTAATCCAGAAATCCGTGAAGTGAGAGAGAAGCTCAGTTTTGGCCCAGACGCCACACTGACTGACTGACTGACTGACTGACTGACTGCCAACAGCACAAGAGGAGAGGGAGAGACCCCGGCGCTGTTGGTAGAAGAGCTATAGACTGCGATTACTCTGAGCAGCGTGCATGGGAATGAATTACAGCATCATTTATTAGAATATATTTCTCGCTTTTTCCTTGTTGATCTGAATAAGTCGCTAAATTTCACTAATATGTCATTTTATAGAAATAAGGTTGTTATGAGAATCTGAAAAATCAATGCCAAGTTGGCAACACTGGCTCTCTCTGATGGATTTTGTGTGTACGCACATGCATGGAAAGCCAAAAGGCTCACATTTCGTCTAGATTTCCGTGTTTAAACCGTGTGTGACACTAGAAAAACACATAGTGGCCTTCATCAGATGCCTGGTGGTGTTTGATAATGATCTCTGTTATCATCCAATCAGTAAGGAAGAAGGCACTTGGGTGTTTTATTACATATTTCTTATTTATTTATTTGTATTATTATTATTGGAGCCTTTTTGGAGTTGTGTTAGTGAACTGCTGGGAGAGTTGAGCTTTCATGAAGTCGAGATTCTTTGGTTTGTAGCCACGTGTGTGTTTTTGACCGCTGAGTACCAGCAAATTTAAGTTGCTTGGGATTTTTCTGTCATTTATTTCTCTGCTTGAATATCAACCCTTATGTATGGTGTCTGGTAAGAGCAATTCAAAACATTTTGCACAACGCAGTATGAATGAGAATTGAAAATAAATACGACAAGAGAAAGAAATCAGTGTGACTTCTGTGCCACAGTTTGTAACATATTGTTTTACTGCGTACAGTTTACAGCAAACCCTCCTCTGGCTGGAAAAACTCAGTGTTGTAATTCATAAATGGTCCACTGCTGCCACCATCTGGAGTGTTACAGTAAGAGCAGGTACGCCGGCTCATTGCAGTATGCATGCACCATCAAATGGCTCGATACACTTAACTTCACATTGTATTGAACATACAATATATATAAATAAAAATAATACAAATTGTGATGTGACACGTAGTTTAAACACCTGTTGGCAGGGAAATTGAGACGAATTGTGCCTTTTGGCGTTCCATAGAGAGTTAACAATTAAAATCATAAGTATTCTATACATATTCTACACATATTACACAATAATTTAACTACTACTACTTATGTAGTATGTCCTCGGGACAAAGAGACATCCTTAATTTAGAGCTTTGGTTGGATGGATGGACAGTTAAATTAAAGTCAAATAAAAATGAAACATCAGTAATCTTTAAAATGTCCAAATTCGGCTCAGATAGGCATTGAGCTGGTGGTCTGAGGACACTCTTTATTCTCAGTTTATTAAGTTCTTTACGTACAGTTTCCATTTTATACTTCTACTCCACTACATATCAGAGGCAGATATTGTACTTTTTATTCCGCCTTACATTTATCTGATTAATTAAGCTAAATAAAGACGTAAAAAAGACCCTCTTGGATTTGGTTTTTCTGAGCTCATGAAAAGTTTTTTTTAGAAATACGAGCCTTTCAGGACAGAGATATTACAAACATACGATGATCTTATAGAATATGATGCATTGTTGTAGATTAAACTATCCAACAGTAAATAAAGTAGTTAAAATGAGCTCAACATTAAACATCTACAGCAGTGAAATGCAACATACACATGAATGCAGCAGTAATATTAATAGAAAAACATAATATTTAATAGGAAAACACTGACAAGGACCATTTTACAGCACAATGAGTACTTTTATTTTTGATATTATAAGTACATTTAGGTGACAACACTTTGTGATTTGTACTGCTTTAAGTTGCTTAAAGCAGCAACAAGGAACTTTTTAAGTTTTTGTTGATTCTAGTTGCCCCTGTGGACATTTTAACTGAAATTCCTGTTCTGCTGTCAACAAAGCACAAAGCCATTACATAAATGAGGGAAAAGTCACATATTTTTTTCCTTTTGGGACCACGATTAGGGCCTCTCCGTTCTTCGTCTCATCTGTCACCAGCTCGAGGACGGCCTCCCCTACCTCAGATACACTGAAATAAGAAGGTACAGTGACTTCAGTGAATATGTGATGATGATAATGTACTTCCACTGAATAATGTTTGTACTTATTATCAATGTACTGAATAGAATTAAGGCAAATCCGCTGCAGACTAAACTGTAAAGGTTTAATGGAGCACAGAATTAAATGTAGATTTTTTTAAAGACTTACTTTAACACCCCAAAACTTTTTAATAATTGTTCGGCTGCTTCGGCCATGTGGGAGTATTTCCCCAGTCTGGCTGGAATGGCAGACAAGAGGTCAGTTTGGACAAAACTTGGGCAAACTGTGTTGAAACGTACACCGTAGCCCGAGGCGGTAGAGGCAGCCTAGAAAGAGACACACGTACACACAATTAAGTTTCAACTGGTCAGAGGCACAATGTATAATACGCAATGAGAGTAACAATCTGTCTCACTCCTGGATTAAACACTTTTATTGTACTAAACTGCCTGTATTGAGCCAACAGAGGTACTCAAACAATTAAACAGAGTTAGTGGATTTAGGTAGTGCCTAATGACTCATAAGGACTAGCTTAGTTAGATCCAGGCAACGATTTCCACACCTACTACAAGTGTAAAATGCTTTGTACGTGAAAAACATTTGAATTGACACCTGGTTGCGATTTGTGCTGCAAATTCTTGTACACAGATTGTTTTCTTTATCTGTCCAGACTTCTTCGTAAGAAAGCATTCCTTACCGCCATGGCCCGAGTAAAACCGACCACTCCGTGCTTCGTGGCTGAGTAGACAGGACAGCTTGGCATTGGACTGAGACCTGAGGGATGTGGGTTATGTTGGTCAGTTTTCAGAAATCCTGACTAATGACAGAGGTCAAGAGTTTTGTGTTTTCATGCAGCAAATTATCCTTAAATTATAATAATGGGGGTTATATCAAGTCAATATTAAATTGATGTTACCAATAGTTTTATATTCCTGGCAGCTGGTGGTTTTATCACATGAGGAAACATGACTAGAACTGCCTGTAGATAATCATCATAAATGCCTTTCTCACTGTATGTCTGCTATCTCTTTAGAGACTGTTGTGTCTTGTTTTATGAAAGTGAAGCTTCATTTGATTGGCGCAGTTTTTACACAGTTATATGTCTGACAATAGACAGTTGAGAGGAATCTAGCTGTGTTTCCAGCCAGGAGGAATTCCAGTAGCTCACCTGGTAGCCCCACCTACTAAGGCTCAGTCCTTGTCGCAGTGGTTCGGGTTTGATTCCAACCTGTGGCCTTTTCACCTATCACCTCTCCCTCTCCCTTTCCTGTCTACCGCCAGCTGTCTCTCTGTCTCTATCCATTAATGGCATATATAGATATATCACTATTCTAACCAGGTTCATCAAACACAACAAACATAAGAGCACAATGTTGCTCCTTTAAGTATGTAAAAGAAAAGGTCGAAATGTTTAAATATATAAAACTAACTACAACCTCTCGTGTCTTTTTACTATATTTCTTAAGGTGATTCAAAGAATGCTGTTTTCACATATGCAGAACATCGTTTCTATTACCCGATAGGGATGATGTGTTGACGATGACGCCTCCCCGACCTCCCTTCAGCTTGCTCATGTGCTCCAGAGCCAGGTAAGATACCCTGATGACACTCACCTACAACACAGAATAGACAACAGAGACCTCATTTTCTTCAGGCCGTCCTCTGTGTACCAAATGTTGTGTAATGAAACAGGAAGCTGAATGTAAAACGTGCTATATTTAACTGTTTCCAAATCATTTCATCAGTCTAACTGCAGAGAAGAAAGACATGTAAATGACTCTGTTTACGGTGGTGCAACCAGTAATTTGTGAGACACAAATATGTTGTAATATGTTGTTGTGTAATTTCCCTCGTGATGCACCCGCGTACGAGAGACGGGCATAATCCCAACCAGATGCAGTTTGTTGCTTCTTACAAAGTTTATAGAGATGGTTTTCTCCCACATGCCCTCATTCATGATGCCGGCATTGTTGCACAGGATGTCTATTCCTCCAAATCTTTCTGTGGTTTTCTTCAAGGCAGCTTGAGAAAAGAGAAAAAAACACAGTCAACCAGGTTGAGCTCCTCCTCATTAAGGACCAGTGTGTAGGATTTAGGGGCATCTTAAGCAGTGTAGTTTTGCAGATCGCAACTCCCTCGTTTCACCCTCAAAGAGAAACTACGGTGGCTCTAACGTCCACTTTCTCCCTCCTGCCCTGCAATAACTCCTTCCCCTCCAGTCCCAGTCATCGGACTTTACCCGCCCTCCTCCTGAGCAGTTCCACCTATGTCGGTGGTCTCCAGGCTACCTGTCCTCCAGAGCTGCTTCCCCTTTGTCGCCAGCACCCAGGGCCTTGTCAGAGCTGCCCTGTCTCCTGGTCACCCTCAAGACCTGCCCTGCCAATCTACCTTGACCCCAGGCCATCTGCCTGAGGTCTCTGCTCTGCCCCTGACCAGTCCCCAGGCTGTCCACCCGAAAGCACTGCCAGCTCCCAGGCCACTTTCCCTGAAAATAGGAATCACTTGTGTTTTCGTTACCTCAGAATGAGACGTTTTGATGTTGAACTGTTTCCACAAACCAAACACTGGCTGTACTGTTGCGGCCATCACAGTTTCTCCTACATGCTTAGGAGGCGAGCTGTATTCAGTTTGTGTCAATCTGAAACTAAATCCTACACAATGCTCCCTCAATATCAGTTCTATTCAATTCAGTGATTTGAGACTAATAGTTCATATCTTTTCATGTAATTGAGGAAGTTTTCAACAATCGAGTTTAAGTTTTTTGTCATAAGAATAAATAAATCAATAAAAAACTTGTGTTTTGGCAATGTCTTGATGATATGAAACACACAATTCACTAAATAAATGTAAAATGCACTGACAAACAATCTCTTCACCCTTCTAAGTAAATGGTAAAATCACACATTTTTACACAGAATATAATCTGATACAGAACTGCTCCTCCAACATTTGAAATGTGAGCAAATTGTTCTCTTAGGAAGACTATTATTACGCATACTTAGGCCTATTGCTTATTTCTCTTTCCATCCTGCCATTCACTCCTCTCCTTAATAACTATTAATGAATTATTTCCTTGCTGTCAGTGGTGATATCAGCTTTTCTGATCAGCTGGCCTCATCTGTCCATCACCGCCCAGTTCATCATCAGCATCATTTTATGTCATCAGCCGTCAGTCGCAGTTGAGTCATCCTCCGCAAACCAAAAGCGTCTGGGCTCAGGGCAGACACCCCTACATTTCATAATCTT